TCTGGTTTTACTCTTCACCGTTACAAACTCTGTAAGGAATGACTACTTCCTGCCCCATGGTTGCCCTCAATCCTACCAGAGAAACTAATTCTCACTATATCTTTTCATAAGAATAGATTCATACTGTAATTTTCCCTTTTTGGTTTCCCCACTTTTTTTTTTGAAATATGAAAATGCTATATAAGCAAATTAAAAACCATTAACCATTTTGACTTTGGCAAAAGTTCCAACAGATGCCTGGACAACTGATATCTCCCATCATTACTGTTATCATGCTTCTATACCAGGTTTGGGTTCTATTACTGGAACCTCTTTATTACCTCTTTCTAGTCAAACACACTATAGTATGCCCCAATGACAAAATCATTTTATTCTACTTCTATGAAGTTTCACCTAAATGTTCTCCACTATGTTGTTTTTCCCCCTCTGATCTCTAAATTTCTTCACTTGAATATATCTTCTCACTATATGATGTTGTGGTAACACCTCTCTTACCTGTGATATTTCTTCTGAATGAGGTATACCTTTCCATAACAACATTTCAGTCACAGGTCTTATTTTGCCAAATGTCACTGATTCTTCAGTCACCAAATCTGTCCCATTACATTATAACCTTTGTAACATCTTACTTGTAATGTATATGGATTCAGATTTATACATTCAAGGACAAGGATTTTGCTATTTGCCTCTTTCTTGAATTTTGTCTCCAGTGATCTTTTGGATTTCTTAAAAGCTATTCTTTCTCCCATGTTGTAGCTACTCACTACAGTCCCGAGCTTAAAGACCTTTTAAATTCCCAAAACTCTAGGTAAATCGCATCTTGGCAGCTTCTATGTTGGGTATGCTTTATCCCCAGTGAGGAACCTAGAATTTCTACATTTTCTGTTATGGTCCAGAAAACCAAAATCCCACTCTTAATTATCTTCCTAATTGGTTGTTTGCTTTCCAGATCTATGTTTCTCTTCTACATTCCCTTAATAAGAACCATGCATGAAAATAACACCTTGCTGTAGGTCTTCAGCTTCTTGAAGAATGCAATCCTTGGCAATGCTTTCTAGGGTCGTTTTGGCAGTATAATATATGTATCCACAATGTCACTAGAAGTGTACTGCAGTTATTTTGACAAGTTCTGTCACATCTGAATCTATGCCTCAGGAAGGAAGCAGACTGTCTATTGTTATTAGTTTGACAAACAGCTGCCTCAGTACTCCTAGAAAGTACCAAACATTACCCCTTTTTGGCTGAATCTTACTGGATGATGTCTTACCTGACAGGATCTATAATCCTATTTTTATCTTTTCCTGGAGGACAAAATGTCTACTTTGTCTTTAGAGCAGCCAAGTCCCTCCTCTTTAGAAAAGAACTTTCAAATTTATTTTATTTAAATTTATTCATTTTAGCCTTTCCTTTGACTGTCATTCTTATATCACTCAACCTCCAGATGCAGGTCAGGCTTCACTTCTGCCTCTTCAGATCACTTTACTTATTTTTCACATAGGCAAATCATTAAGTTTTTCTTTTTTTAAAGGAACTTATTCTATGATCATCTGGAATACAGAGGTATTTTTTCAAAACCCTTCACCTTTTCTAGGATAGAGAAAAGCTGACATGTTAACCTTGCCAAAAATAAAAACCTTGCAGCTCAGTGCAAGTCACTGCTAAATTCTTCCTATTCTCCAAAATGAGCTGCTTTCAAGCCCTATTGCTGTGCGCACCTTGCCTTGCCAGCTGCCTTCCTGAGTCACCTCTCCTCAGTTCCTTCTCAATCACCTTTCTCTTCCTTCAGTTCCAGTCATTCGTCTATATTCCTCAAATTTTCCCAAGTTTCTCCTATCCAAATTCAATCTCCACCTTTTTTCATAAATTCCTTCTCCTTCAGTTCAACCCTTTCACTCTTTTCTATCTCCTTTTGCCACACAATTTTTACTTTCAAAGACAGATTAGGGAAAAGTGAAGGGACTGAGCTTAATAAGGAGAAAATAGTGAAGATTAGAGCATGAATTTTGAAGAAAAATTCCAAAAAATCCAATTCAAATGCTGGGACTCAAATGGCAATGGAGACATATGGTGGCCTTTAAATAGGAAGCAATATAAGATGGATAATGACTCAAAAATAAGAAGTGGTATAAAAATATCTAGGAAATACAACCAAAAAAGGACATAGACAGGTCATTTAGCAAGTGAGAGATGACAAATGGACCATCCAAATGTCATACTGGTATTCAGGACATAGTAAAACAATCAAGGAAAGACTGTCACATTGGGTAGATGCCCTCTGAAAGGCCTATGGGAAACCATGGACAAAAAAAAAAGTATGGGATGAAAAGGCTTAATAAGAGTATCTCACATTAAAGTTTTTGAAATGACATGCCTAACAAGAATTCCATGAGATGCTATAAACATTATTGGTGGTATAAGTATTATTATCCCCATTTTGAAGTCATGGAAAAAAGTTAATTGTCTGAGGTGAGACTTACATTATTTTACGCCGACTCATGATATTCCACTGCTTTACTGAAGTTCACCTCCCCGAACCTAACCCAGTGTCACTGCTGTTAACGTTCAGTCATTTCAGTCACGTCCAACACTTCATGACACCATTTGGCGTTTTCTTGGCAAAGATACTGGAGTGGTTTGCCATTTCCTTCTCCAGCTCATTTTACAGATGAGGAAACTGAGGTAACTGGGGCTAAGTGCCCAGTCATACTGCACAGCTAGTAAGTGTCTGAGGCCGGATTTGAACTTAGGAAGATGAATCATCCAGACTTCAGAGCCAGCACTCTCTCCACTACGCCATCTAGTGGCCTCAGTCAGGCATATAGTAAATGCTTAATAAATGCCTGATTTATTTATCTACTTTAATAAGTGTTTGGCTTAAATTATATGTAGAAAAGCTGGTGGATCAACTTCATAATGGCCTGTGAGAGAGATGTGGAGAAAAGGCAGGAAAACAACTAGGGGAATACACAAGGCATGGTTGGGTAGGGAAAAAAATCATTTACACTCAAATTGGCAGTCATTTATTAGAGGAATAGGTTTATATACTGGACTGTGGAATTAATAACCCAACTACAATAACACAAATGGCTTGGCATATTCTGAGAAGGCAGGGCTCCTATTTGAAGTCAGTAAGAATTTTGAAGAACACACTCAGATGACAGCATAAGGCTCTGAATTTGACAAGTACGTTTATGTGCAAATATTTGAGTGTTGGTCCTAGTAAAAACAAACTTCTGCGTAACACAAAAGATTTCCAACATTCAGCCAATGAATTTATTTTCTGAAATATTTAACAGGCAATATTTAATAGTCATTTATTAAGCACCTATGTTAACACAAATCATGCTAAGTACTGGAGATATAAAGCAAAAGACAATCCCTGCTCTGAAGTAGCTCATACTCAAATTGGGAAACAACATAAAAATTACTATGTATAAATTAGATGTAGATGTAGATAGATAAATTGCCTCAAGGGAAAGGCACATTGAGGAAGATGGGGGAAGGCTTTTTGTAAAAGAAAGGATTTTAGCCTGAAGGAAGCCAGGAGATAGAGATGAGGAAAAACATTCTAGGAAATGGGAGGACAACTGGTGAAAATATGTGGAACTGGGAGATGCAATGTCTTATGTGAGAACAGCAATGAAGCCAGTGCCACTGGATGGCAAAGTTATTAGAGGGGAGATAAGGTATAAGGACATTTGAAAATAGGAGATGACTGGGTTATGAAGGGCTTCAAAAGCTAAAGGATTTTACATTTGATCCTGGAGGTGATAGAGGGCCCCCGAATAGGGGGATGACATAGTCACCTCTGCACTTTGGGAAGATCAATTTGAAAACTGAATGAGCAAAAGACTGGACTGTGGAGGGGCTTGAGGCAGACAGACCAACCAGAAGGCTATTTCAACAGCCCCAGAATGAGGTAGTGGAGGCCTGCACCACTGTGGTAGCAGTGTCAGAAGAGAAAAGGAAGAAGGAGTGAACATGAGATATGTTTAAAAAAAAAACAAACAGAATCTACGGCACTTGGCAACTCACTGGATATAGGGGAGGTGTAGAAGTGAGGATTTGAGGGTGACATCTAGGTTGCAAGCCTGGATTACTGGGAGGAGTGTGGTAACCTCAACAACAACAGGAATAATAAAATTGTAAAACGGGAATCAGCACATTTTTTTCATGGGGGGGAGTGTGTATGTTAATATTTTCTCTTTCTACAAAATTTTCCATTGAATAGTCTATAATTATTTTGTTTGCTTTTAGCTTCCTCTAAAGCTAACTTGCTAGTGTTCTTTACTTTTTTTGATGGAGTCAATGAAAACTAGAGGGTTTTTTTTTCTCCAAGATTTAAGTAAAGTTCCATATACACTGGAACACTAAATTGCAACTTGTAAGGTATTCTATTTGACAACTTTTCAGGTCTTTTCAATTCAATTATTCAAAGTGCATTCATTTGCAACCTAATTTTTCTAACTTAGCGACAACTGGTAGTAGTACAACATACAGAGTACAGGACTTGGAGTCAAGAAAAACCTAAGTTCAAACCCTACTTTAGAGACTTAGTAAGTATGGTATCATGGCAAGTCACTTAACCTTTCTCAGCCTTTCTCTTTTCTCTCTCAAGTTCCCAGGGGTTGGACTCAATGGTCTCTAAAGTCCAGTACTACTCTAAATCTATGATCCTATGAAGTGTTCAAAATACAGTATTTAAGTCGTGAGAATTTAACTGTTTCACAATTGTGTTTGAACAATTTAATCTCTATTTCCATACTAATGTAGGACAAAAAATGTTTTATCCAAACAGAAGTGTCTAAATGTTCATGGACATACTGCAAAGGAGATATGTAGGTGATTCATTTACTATTCTCTTAAATTCTTTTCAAATGCTTTCATACTTAGTTATACTCATTCTCACAGAACATATCAAATTAAAATACTCTACACAAACATAATGAATAAGTCACATACTAATGTGTATTTTAAACTAAAAGAAAAGAACTACTGTGATGTACTTGGAAATTTATTAATATTTTAGACATGCAATTAAATAAAATATTAAAATTATACACTTTAATCAGCTATAATAAATCAATACTTATCATATGTAATATAAAAATTCTGATTCTTCATGCATCAGATTACATAAATTTGGTGTCACATTATACAATATTTAAATATACTTGTGAATTTTGTACCTTCAAAAATGTGTACAAGTTACTATAGTATTTTTAATAAGACAAGTATGTACTCTTTTATTATAAATATTGTTTATATCTTTTGCATACCTGCTAAATATACACATTCTAGGATCTGCAGCAATTCTTCATACTTCAAAATACAAAACATCTGGAAGCTTCTAACATGAATAAGCCCAAATGTATTATTTGTAACAGATTTCAATTCCACATAAGAGTGGATTCTTTGACATAAAAAATAAATGAAATAAATGATGTCAAGTCTAGTTTAATGCTTGAAGAGCTTCTACAGTTCTTAATAAATGCATCTGAAAACCCTTCATATGCAGATTAGTTAAGGTGCTATCTATTGCATATTAAATACTTCCAATGATTACATCTGGATTATTAAAGTTATAAATCCATTAAAATGGAGTTTACAATGGAAGTGCTGACAGACCTTTAAATCTAGTATCATGAACTAGCAATGCCATAATCCTTCACCTCTTACTTCAAAGAGAGTAAGTGAATCAACATGCTCTTAAAGTTCATTTTAACACACACAACTTACACCTACCATATCAACAAGATGTATGAGTACATGAACATCAAAAAGTTTCGGATTGATTTACAAATCCAAGATGGGCTCTTTCTTAAAAGCTATAGAAGAAAATGAAACCTCTGGTACAACATTTCTTGTAGATACATTAAAGAAAGCAGTTCTTATTTCTTTTTAAGATTCTCCTAGTCAAAGAAAATGCATCCCGTCCCTTTGAGGAAAATGGGGGTAAGGGAAGCACATGGGAAGAAAGCAAGTTGTTCACTGATGAGCTTAGTTTTGCTTGGGTTTCTGTTCATGAAATCTGTTTTAAGAACCACGTAACATTTTCACAGCTGGAAAATTAAAACTAGATCTTGATTTCCTGCCAAAAGCAATAGATGTAGTTGTGGCTAATCTATGGATAATGCTACATTCATGCATGCAAAGGTGACAAAACAAATTCAATACAAAATATAGCAGCAAAAAGTAACATCTAAATGTTATACATTCTTCTTGAATGGGTAATAAGTTATAATTTTAACTACAATTCTAAAATATGACTCTGGTATTTGTCCCATAAATGAAAGTTAAAAGAATTAACTGTGGGCAAGTATTTCCAATATTATTATAACTAAATTGGAATTAATACTGAAATGAAATTTGCATGTAGAAGTGATTTTACAAAATAAAACCTTTTAAATCAATACAATAGAAGTTTCTCAGCTTATAACAGGTTTTGAGATATACTGTGTAAATCGTTTTATGATTAAAAGACCAGTGAAATGCTTTGGAGTATATAGATGTGTTTCAGCACAAAGAGGAATAAATATGTTTATAAGTATCATACTTTCTGTTAAAAAAAATCATTAATTGTACCCTCATTTCTAAACTACTAACCTAAAAAAATACATAATCAAATCTCTGATAATGTGAATAATTATAAAGTTATACTTCAAAAATACAAGCTAAGATATTATTTTCTGCCTTTTTGCAATTCTAAAAATTGAAGACAGTTTTGTTTCTACTTTCAACCAAGGACAGAGTAAAGACACTTTCATTTGTAAACAAAATCTGAGGAGTAATTTTTTTCTCTGCTTTTAATTACATTGATTTATAATGTAATTATAATGAAAACAGCATTCAGCTCTAAGTCATGTGACAGTAACCAATAATTGAAATAGTTTCAGGTGGTACTAAGTGCAATTAAAATCAAGTTTTAATATAATACTCATTTTGGCTTACAATGATAAAAACGAACAGCTTATTGATTCTTGATTCTTTATGCAGGAAAATATCCTCTCCTTTAAAGTAGATTTGATTGTGTCATACTTACGACATGAGATATGTGGGTACCTATGGCAAAATAAAAATTAATTATGTAAAAGCAAATTTGGCCAAAGTATACTAAAATATCCAAGAATCTTTGTGGCAGAAATGAATGACTCTAACCTTATCTTTTGATCTTTAAAAAAAGATTTAATGTTTGTTTGGGTTTTTTTAAATCTAAGTGAATCATAGTGATAAAAATCATAACCTTTGGCACCAGATTCAAAAATATTTGTTACTGAGACTTCAAATTAGAAAAAAAACACATTGATATTTGAGGTATAGTGACTATAGATTCTAAACATAAAGTAAGTTTGGGAAAAAAATGGGCAAAATCAATTTTCCATTTCCCATCTTCCTAATTTTAGAAAATGAACTACATGCTACTTATGAAAATTATTTCAGAACTTTAAAATGATGCTTCCTTAGGAGAAGCAAGTAAATCTTGTAAATAAAGGCCAGATCCTTCGGATAAGTACACTCAATAGTCTCTGACCCCAAATATTAAAATGATCAAAAAGATAATTCTAAATACTATCTTAAAAAGAAGTCCTTTAGCTCTTTTTATGAATTACATCTACTTTATTATATATTTTTAGTGAAGCTGAGCTATAAGTATCAGAAAAATTACAAAGTTCATTAAAGAACAGGGACAACAGGGTGCAGAAAGACATATCCCAAATTTTTGAAATGAACTTAACATCTTAACATTAAGAAGATAAAGCTTCCTTCTTAGCTTATCATTGTAATAATTTCTTTAAAGTCATCAAACATAAAGTTTAAAAACAAAAACTTTTTTTTTCACCACTACATTTCCACCTGAAATGATGGGATAATTTCACATGCATTTTACAACAATATCTAAAGATGACCTATAAAAGTAACTAAGCGTGCTCTGTAGAGGAATGAAAAATTCACCAGAAAAAAAATCATATCACTAACTGAACCTTAAGAAATGTAAATATATATTATTGAGTAAAGACGTGCACTAAAATTTCACAATCCCGTTATCTAGCCTTTTTTTAGGTTTAAAGTTTAAAAATTCCTTACCCTGAAACTCTTAATGTTTAAAATGTATTTTGGTTTTGTCAATATTCCTACAACACAACCCATTTTATGCTCATTTCTAAATGTCTTATGTGCCTCTATTACAAATTATTCAAGTATTTGACTATATCTTTCCTCTTCCTCCAACTTTCTTTTGACATTTTTCTTTGTAACAACTTGTCCACATCTTTAAAAGCATGCAAAATCTTTACCAAAAAAAAAAACCCCACGTATTTTATTAGTTTGTTACCAACTTTACAGTTTTCACACAAAACTCAAACTTTAGGATAAAAAAAATATGAGCTCCAACAAATATCTAAGATCTTAAAGTTGAAATATCCTAAGAGAGTCTCAATATTACATAAGTATGACACTCCACCACTTTTGGGTCATTTCTTCTGATGAATACCAGGAATGGATTTTAGAGTATTACATTACATTGCAGTTCCCTTTCAAACCAAGTTATCACATGGTTAGGATTGAGTCAAAACAGTTTCTGCATAAACAGTAATACTAGTAAGAACTGATTTTTGATTTGCACCAATAAATAAAACACATTCACACATTCAAATGAAGTACATGGGAAATTCAGCATTAAAATGTATCAATTATAAATATAAAATGCTTATTTGTACATATACGTAATTAGTAGTTTTGTGGCTAAATATTATCCTCAAATTGATTTCTGAAAAAAAAAATCAAAAAATTTATCACACTTCAGAAGGCAGGATCTGAATGATGAAAAGTCTTAGCAACAGACAGGCATTTTGGAAGGTGAATGTTACTAAGGTAAATGTCCGCACCAATAGATTAATCAGGAAGTAGGGAAGTAGGCTTAGAAGGCCTAATTTACACCCAAGGAAAAGTTACATACCCTAGAGATGCTAGCCTTTTTTAATTTAAAGATTTATATCACTTAGCTCACTTCAGAGATGACACTTTTTTGGCAATCCCCACTACTAGTTAAACTTAAAGCAATTTCTGAGAAATTAACAGGAAAAAAAGGAACAAAATTTAAACCTGTTGTGCAGTGTCTTCCATCAGCACTGTTTAAAGTACGAAACACAGCGTTAACTGACTTATTAACTCTTAGAAAATTTGCCAGCTTTTCTTGAAGGTTCATATGGCACTCTGAGAATACTTGGAGTTTCTTCCATTACTCTTACAAGAAGATTGTCAATGTAGTCCTCAAGCTCACGGATGTGGGTATCTTTCCTTTTAAGTAGTTCTTTGTGTTTCACCAGTTCTTGCAACACTTCTTCATAGGTAAGACTTCGATACCCTGCAGTGGCATCAAAAGGATTGCTATCCTGGAACAGGATAAAAATACTAGTTTTATTAGATGTTATGTCATAGGTAAACAGTAAGGTCCAAACAAAGCCTTTGAGGAATCAGGACATAGGGGTAGACAAAGGAGGAATGGAAATGAATGATTATCAATCAATCCTGAAAAAAACATGTTTATTACATAATATTTTTCTTAACACAACAAAAAAGCACCAGTATATATTTATTTATCCAAATCTCTAATAAAAATCTGCATGTAGTTTATGCTATCTTAAAAATGACAATACCTATTCAATTTCAATCTGGTCAGTACATTGTTTTCATTTCAATAAAAGTGCATTCTCTTTATAATTTATTGTTTTTCAAACTAAATTAAGGTTCTTTTCTTTGTTTCTGTCACAAGGCAGATCTCCCTTGACAAATTGCAAATGGTTTATAATTAGAATCAAGTGGAACACAATATTGACATTAAATCTACTAAATAATTTTATAGGTAGAGACTTTAAAAGAATGAAACTATAAAATGTGACTAGTTTATCTTTGAGGCACCTCTATGTGTGATATATGTGGTTCCACTATAAAGTGATAACATTTTCATGAGTGGTTTAAGAACATCAGTTTCACTCCTTTATTGTCACAACACACAAACAGTATTTACAATAGAAGATACTGATTTAGAATGCAACAAAAGGCCCCACATATTAGGACAACATCTACATTTTAAATACCCAATATTTGTGTTAAAAATAGCAATTAAGAGTTGTGGTTACAAAATCACAAAACCACAGAATACTGGAGTTGGAATGTAATTCAGTGATCAGTTAGTCCAAATTATACTAGAAAAAGAACACTTATGACATAACTGGCAATTAATTGGTCATCCAGTCAGTCAATAAGCATTTACTGACTGCCTACTAAGTGCTAAAGCACTATACTCAGTGCTAGGTATGCAAAGAAAGGCAAAAAATGATTTCTGCCCTCAAGGGCTAACAATCTAATCAGGGAGACAACAAGCAAACAAATATATAAAAATAAGTTATATGCAGGACAAACAGGAAGTAACAGAGGGAAGGCACTAAAATTAAGCAGGACTGGAAAGGCTTTCTGTAGAAAATGAGATTTTAGATGGAACTGGAAGGAAGCCAGGAAGCAAAGATGAGAAGGGTGAACACTCCAGGCTTGGGGGACAACCAGAGAAAATGCCTAGAGCTGAGAGAAACGGAGCTTCTTGCTCATGGAACAGCAAGGATGCCAGTATCACTGGATCAAAGACTATGTGGGAGCAGGAGAGGTATAGATTGTAAGAAGGCTGGAATGGTAGCGGAGGGGGAGGCCTTGGTTATGAAGGGCTTTTGAACACTTAACAGAAGTTTTTGTATTTGATCCCGGAAGTCAAGGAGAGCCACTAGAGTTAATTAGGGCGTGTGTGTGTGTGTGTGTGTGTGTGTGTGTGTGTGTGTGTGTGTGTGTGTATGAGACAGACAGAGACAGAGAGACAGACAGAGAGACAGACAGAGATGGTCTACCCTATGCATAGGAAAATTACTTTTGACAGCTGAATGGAGGATGGACTAGACTGGAGAGAGACTTGTGGCAGCCAGACCAATCAGTAGGCTACTGCAATAGTCCAAGAATGAGGTGCTGCACTAGGGTGGTAGCAGTATCAGAGGGGAGAAGGGAGTGTGTTCAAGAGATATTAATTAATTAATGAGGTGAAATCCAAATGCTTCGGCAACAGATTATTTAATCTGTTGGAAATGGGAGGTAGGGGTTGTGGAGAGATGTTGAGGAATAGAAGATACCATCTAGGATATGAGCCAGAAGAAATGGAAGGATGGTGTTGCCCTTCATAGTATATCAAAACTGGAGGAGAGATTTTAGGAGGAAAGATGAGTTCAGTTTGAGACAATGAGTTTAAGATGTCTACTGAACTCCTTGCTATCTCTCATTACCCAATTAACAGGGCGAAGGTACTAGTATTAAATGGGGGAAGTCTTCTTGTAAAAAGTGAGATTGTACTCATTTACTCCCAATGTGAGTAGAGTAGCGTTTTTAACACAAATTCAAGAAATAAGGCAGTAAGAATGAGTAAAGAGAAAAAGAATCCCACCATAAAGAGCTATAATGGTTACAGGGACATCTAAGACACAAACTCAGAAGAGAATGATTCCAAAATATTTTCAATCAAAACTGCAAGGAAAATATAACTTGGACACAAAGTTCTGCTAGATTTCCTGGAAGAAATGAATCAAGAATTTAAAACTAAAGAGCGTAAAATTGTTTTTACACATAAAATCAGAGAAATACACAAAAAAAATTGGAAAAGAAATGAGCACTAGAAAAGAAAAACTTGGAAAGAATTAACAACTTAAGAAGTACAACACCTTATTCAAACAAACAACAGACTCCTTAAAAATTAGAATGGATCAAACAGAAGTTAATATCGTCATGAGACAAATACTGACACAAAGTCAGAAGACTGGAAAAAGTAAGAAAAAAAAGTATCTCCTATTAAAAATAAAACAAAAAACTTTGACCTGGAAAACAGATGGGGAGAGATAATCTAAGAATCACAGGACTGCCTGAAAAGTGTGGGCGGGAAGGTGGGAAGGAAGGAAGGTGGGAGGGAAGGAAGCCTATACATCATATTTCAAGAAACCATAAAACTGCCAAAAAAAAAAGAGAGCTAAGTGGAATTATAAAGAATCCACTAGTCATCTCCTGAAAGAATCTCCAAAACGAAAACTTTCAGAAACAAAGACAAAATCCAGAACTTCCAAATGAAAGAAAAAAAAATTCAAACAGCCTGAAATAAAGAGTTTAATTACTGAGGAACCACAGATACAATCACAAAAGATTTATCAACCACCACTGTAAAAGAGTACAGATCTCTGAATATATTCCAAAAAGCAAAACATATAGGTACACAACTATTAATAAGCTATTTAGGAAAACTGAGTAAAACCATATAGTGGAAAAAATGAATCTTTAATGAACTAGATGACTTTTAAGAAAGGATGAGAAAACTAAAGCCAAGTAGAACTTTTTCAATACAAACACAGAAAAAGAGAAACATAAAAAGGTAAATATGAGCAAACTATCATAACAGACTAATCAAAGATGAAGTGTTTAATATTCTAACATAGAAAGACAATACAAATATCTCCTCAGAACCCTACCATCATCAAGGGTCACAGGAGCTACATAAGAGATCTCAGTAGTGGTTTTGTTGCTTTGATTACCTTAAAAAAGAAGAAAGAGATGAAAAAAATATATACTAAAGAGAAAAAAGGGAACAGATGAGTGGAGGAAATTATTTCACAAAGTTGGGGGGCCCAAGTTAAAGATTAAACAAATGAGGAGTAGGGGAAGGGAGAGACATTTGAACTTCATTTTCATGTGAATTGATCAAAGAAGTAAAGGATATATATCCACAGTTGGGTAGAGAAATATAGTTCACTCAAGATAAACTAGAAGGGAAGAAAGTAGATTCAGGGAGGAGGGCAGATCTCAAAGAAGGGTTTAAAAGAAAAGAAATAATAAGAATTTGCAACTGGGCTCTGGGTGAGGAAAAGAGAAGGTGGATAAGGGGGAGCAGACACAGATTGCATCCAACCTGAAGCATGGGTTCTTGGCATATTCCTTCCTCACCAACCTCTCCTTTCTAAAGAGGAGGCAAGAATAGGTGGGGGGAAAATATAAGAGATTAGGATAGAAAGAAATTCACAATTAATTTTCAAAAACTGAATGTGAATGAGATGAACTCACCCATAAAATGGAATAGGAGAGAGAATACATTAGAAAGCAGATTCAACAACATGTGGTTTACTAGAAATATACTAGACACAAAAAGATTCATAGGGTTAAAGGGCCTGGGACAACATAATGCTTTAGCTTCACTCAAAAGAGGCAGGACAGGGTAGCAGTCATCATGATCTGAGAGAAGGAAAAAGGAAAAAATAGACTTGATTAAAAGACATAAAAAGGGAAACTACATCATATTAAAATGTACCCCAGAAAATGTTACAGTAATACTAAATATATACATATATATATATATATATATATAGAGAGAGAGAGAGAGAGATATATAGATATATATATATATATATATATATATATATATATATATATATATATATATATATATATATATATATATGCTAAATGGCATAGCATCCAAATAGTTAAAGAAAAAGTTACAGGTGTTAAAGGAAGAAATTACACAATAAAACTATTAACAGTGGGAGATCTCTATGTACATCTTTCAGACCTAGACAAATATAATAAACACAAAAGACAAGTAGAATTTTAGATACATAATATATCTATGGCAATTGCTGAATGGGAATAGAAAGGAGTATACATATATTCTCAGCAGTACACTGCAGGCTTTACAAAAACTGATCAAGTATTTAGGTCATAAAAGCCTCATAAAAATAGAGAAAAATTAAGCACATTGCTTAGTGACCTCAATGCAATAAAAATTATATACAATTTAGGGGCCAGTGAAATAACAAAAAACTAAAGGTCAATGACCAAGTTCTAAAGAACTGTTAAGTCAAAAAACAAATCAAAGAAAAAATAGGTAATTTCATTAAAGATAACAAGACAACATATAAAAATTTTGGAATGCTGCTAAAGCAGTCCTTAGTGGAAAATTTATATCTCTAAATATGTTCATCAACAAAAGAGAGAAATGGGGGCAGGTAGGTGGTGCAATGGATAGAGCACTGGCCCTGCAGTCAGGAGGACCTGAGTTCAAATCTGATCTCAGACCAGACATCTGACACTTATTAGCTGTGTGACCATGAGCAAGTCACTTACCTCATAAAGAAACAAAAAGAGAGAGAGAAGTAACAAGTCGATGAATTAGATATGCAACTAAAACAAACAAAAAAGAAACCTTGGAAGCCAATAAATTACAATCCCAAATAAACACCAAAATAGAAATTCTGAATATCAAAGAGAATAACAAAATAGAAAGAAAAAATTTAATTAATAAATTAAACTAGAAGCTGTT